CGCCCCTTCGCGCCGCCGGCCCGGGCGGCCGCCCCAAACCCGCCGGGGCTCCTTCTCCCCTGCGCCCCGGTTCCCCTTTCCCCTACGTTTCCTTCGGATCACTGTCTCCCCCTATCCCAAGTCTGCGGCCACCAGGACCCGGGCGGGGGTGGGGTGGGGGGGCCCTTCTCTCCTGCCCTTTGGCTCACCTCCCCCACCTGTCCCCACAGGGAGTGGAGAGCTGGGAAGTGACCACCCGAGACCCAGACAGGTGAGATCCGCCCCAGGCGCCTGGGCCTTCCAGAAGAATCACCGTTTTGGTGCCAGGAGCTGCTCCAAGGTGGGGAAACTGAGGCTGAGAGAGAAGGACGTTGACCAAGGTCATGGGCAGGGGCAGCAGGCAGGAGCTGGGTTCAGGTCTGGAGTAGGCTTTCCTGCCCCATGGCTGACACCCGCAGCTGACCTTGCCCCCGACAGCAGGGCCCCAATTTTGGATACCCCCAAGCCCTACCTACCACTCGGCCTGCAGAGCGGGAGCCGGGGCCTGTCCCATGGACCCCCGGGGCAGTGAGGGGCAGACACAAGGCCAGGTGCCTGTGGCCTGAGGGCCTGCGGTTCACATGGCTGCAGGTCAGGCCCGTGCGTGTGCAGGGCTTTGTGTGCGTGGGAGTGTTTGAAGGGGCAGCATGTGCATGTGGTGTCTGTCATCCATGAGGGCGAGTATGTGCTGCCGGGTGTGTGCACATGTGTTTGTGAGTCCACATGTGGAGGAACGAGTGTCCAGAGTGTTCGTGGCCACCTGTGTGTGCCAGGGCTGTGAGCTGGCAACGGAGGGGAGGGCAAGAGCCATGGGCGTGAGGTGTGCAAGCCGGGGCTGGGAGTGGCGTGGGTGTGTGTGCACAGATGCGCGTGGATGTTCATGGGGGAGGGTGACCTTCTGGCCTGGACACAGCCCCAGCTCTGGGTGCTGCTCCTAAAGCCCCCATCAGAACCCCCTTCTTGCCCCCTTTGTCCAATCAGCCAAAGGCCCCAGCAGGAAAGCTGATTGTCACAGCCCTGCCTGGCCCTGCCCTTTCCAAGCTGATTACATTTTTCTGCTTATTTCTGTTTTTGTCACTGATGAATCACAGCCCTGTCTTGGGGTCTGGAGAGATGGGGCTCAGTGAGAGATGCCCAGGCACGCTGGGCTGGGCCAGGCCTGCGCCCCAGCACTTCTTGGGCACTGCTCCGGGGGGAGCTCCCAGCAGCAGCCACAACCCTAGCTGTCTATCTGTCCATCTGTCTCCCCAGGCCTCTGTGGGCCAGCTGGCTGCCCGTTAGGATGTGGAGCTGGGGTGCGAGAGGCCCCAGAAAAGCTCCCACCCCAAAGCTCTCCTCTGCCCCTGTCCCACTGTCTGCAAAGCCACCCTTAGGTCTGCAGGCTCTGAGCTCCCTCGGGGTTTTGCTGGAGCAGAGGCGTGAGGAAGAAAGAGGCCAGCACTCGTCAGGCTCCTGAATCTACCACCTCCTCACTGGGGGACTGTCGTCGTGTCCCTTAACCTTCCAAGGCCTCGGTTTCCCACCCGGGAAGGGCGGGTGGCAGCGCCAGGTCCCAGGCAGCAATAAGGATGATGCGATGTAGCAAATGAGAGGTGCCTGGCGGCGCCTCCCCACATCTCTCGGGAGTTTCCTATTAGCATGAAAATCCCCCTGGAGGAATAGGAATTAATAATAATTATAGCTTTGAGTATTGATTGAGCGTGGGAGCCGCAGCGGCGTTTACCGCGTGCTCAGGCGGCCCCGCCAGCCGGTTCTCAGTCAGGACCCCCGGCCGAGGGAGGGGGTGGGCTGGAGCCTGCTGGAAACTGCGGCTGCCGCAGAGTGTGTTGGCACTCACCCGTGCAGGGGTGGCTCCGGGTCTTGCTGCCCAGGAAGGGGTGGAAACAGTCCCTGAGTAAATCAAGCAAAAACCAAGTGAGCCTGCCTTGTGTGCGGCCAGGCCCTGCACGTCCGCTGAGGGAGTTTGTGGGTGTCCACAGAGACACGGCCTCCTCCCAGAACTTGGGCCTCAGTCTGTGGCCGAGGGGTCAAGCTGTCCACCTTGTGACAATTGTGCTCCCTGAGGCAGGCTCCCTCCAGGCCAAAGGGACAGAGCCCACTGGGGATTACAGCCCCAAGTTCGTGGTGCACCCCATTGCTTGGCCCATTGCTGTCACCCCAGCCCTTGGTGACTCAGACCAATCCCTGTCCTCTCCCCTGGTGCAAAGCCACGGCCCACAGCACCTCGCCTCCATGTGCCACAAGCTGCACCTGCTTCCTTCTAAGCTTGCGGGGTGGGTACACGGGCCACGCCTGGGCTGTGCTTGTGACCTGCCGAGTCCCCCCCCCACCCCTCGGAGCGCAGTGCAGTCTGGTTCCCATTTATAGACGACAACACTCCTGCTCAGAGCTGAAGGGACGAGGTTGGCCAGCTGGGGCACAGCTGAGGAGCCCAAGGCAGGGGCAGGGCCTGGGCCATGCTGACCTCTCCCTTCCCTTCCAGGCTCAGCAGGAACCCTGCTGCCTCCGGGAACTGCCATCCACCTCCTGGGCTGGCCATCCCTAAGTACCACGGTTCACTGGGCAACCCCTGGGTGCCAGGCCCTGCACCCCAGGCCGGGAGTCAGAGGACAAGAGGGAGCTGCAAGCTCGGGACTTGCAGAGCAGGGGCCAAGGCTGTGGTTCACGCTGTCTGCTGAAAGGCTGGGGCAGTGGCAGGTGAGGGGCGGCACAGTGTTTACAGAGGGACATCGAGGCAGGACTTGAAAAGTCTCTGGACATGGAGTGGAGGAGGAGGTGGCACCACAAGCAGTAGGACCTCTGCGTGGAGAAGCCAGAACTCCGTGTTTCCTCTCTGAGCCTCAGCTTACCCACCTGTTCAATATTATAGGAACACATCTAGCCCTTGGAATGGATGATTAGATTCTGCATGCGAAGTGCCCGGTGCGAGGGACGTGGTGGCTCTTACTGCAAGTCAGGGGAAGTTCAGGGAGAGGAGCCAGGTGGGCAAAACCTCAGAAGCTTGAAAGGACCACGCTTAGCTCTGCAGGGTGGGGTCTGAGTCTGTGTCCCCCAGGTCTCCTGTGCCCGACATAGGGCTGGGCTGGGATTGGGAAGGTGGCAGGGGGTGGATGAACATCTGTCAGATGAATGAATGAGAAAATGAATGAATGGATGATCACCCGCTCACCCACCCGCCCTTCAGCATTGCAGCCCCGTCCTCTCCTCTGCACGTCACAGGGGAGCAGATGGCATGATCGAAGGGTGTGAATTATGTCTGTCACTCCCCCATCTGGGGAAGGTGCTGCTGCCATCACACTGCACTCTCTGGGGTGCCCACCGGGAGACGCGTGGGCCTCGGGCCCTCCCAAGAGGGGTCTCCATGGACCTCCCCTGCTAATCCTTGGCTCAAGGGGCTGGAAACACTGGGAGAGGTGACCCACTGAAAGCTGTGACTCTAGGAGGTTCCCCAAGTGGCAGGGAGGCAAGGGGAGAGAAGTGTGGACCACTACGTCCAGAGGCCAGCCCTCTCCCTCCCTGAGACTGAGACTGGAGATGGGAGCCCTCTCCTCTCAAGACCAGCCTGGTCCCCGGCTCCCTGGCTGGAGACCTCTCCTCCGAGGCCAGCATCCTGTCACCACCCAGTTCAGCACCAGGGAGAGCTCCTGGCAGAGCCCAGGGCCCAGCTGTGGAGGGTGACACAGTGGAGGGACCCAGGAGAGGCAGCCAAGGCAATCAATGAACCCATTGTCCGGCGGCAGACACCAAAGGGAAGAGGGGATAAGCACCAAGTTCAAGGTCGTGCCGGGACCACTGACCACAGCCCTGTCTGAGCCCGGGGTCTTTCTGGGAGAGGTGAGGGAGGTGGGAGAGGGTGTCGAGGGCAGGCAAAGGCTATGGCCTCTGCTCCTTGGCTGAGGAACAATATTGTTCCAAGGACCCACTGGGGACAGCATCTGGAGGTGAATAAAATATTCATTGTCCGGGCAAACTCACGAAGTCACTTGATGAATAATGGAATTTATAGACTCGAGGATGCAGACTGGGCGGGGAGGGGGTGCAGAGGCCTCTGTCTGCTCTGATCCTAGCCCTGCTCTGGCCACCCACTTCTGAACCCTCAGAAGCCCGGCTTCTGAAGGTGACGGGAGTGGACAGGACAACAAGGGACAGAGTCCATGGGAGGGAACTGGGCAAAGGGGACAGACCCTTGGATTTGTTGCTCCGTGAGAAGGAAATTGGTGCTTGCAAAAGAGCAGTAGGAGTCCCGTGTGGCTGGGATAAAACCTGATTGCTGTCACCAGCTCTGTGCCCTCAGTGTGGCACCTGTCCTGGACTCAGTTTCCTCTGCTGTGAAATGGGCTTGATGCTGCCCCCCCAACAGCCTGCTGCAAGGACCTGCTGAGACGATGAAGGTGAGGGTGGCTATTGCTGTTGTCCCTAAGGCCGGACCTTCTGAGCCTCCCTCTCGGGCCCCCAGTCCCCTGAGCCCAGGTGTGGCCTGTCCTGGCTACTCCAGGTCCAACTGGCAGGCGAGGGAGACATGGCCTCCGAGGACAGAAGCTTCCAGCCCTCGGGGCAGGGGTGATGTCACAGACCGCAAAAGCCTGGCCCTCGAAGTCACACAC